CAACATACTGTTATAACAACACACTGTTATAACAACACACTGTTATAACAACATACTGTTATAACAACACACTGTTATAACAACACACTGTTATAACAACACACTGTTATAACAACATACTGTTATAACAACATACTGTTATAACAACATACTGTTATAACAACATACTGTTATAACAACACACTGTTATAACAACACACTGTTATAACAACATACTGTTATAACAACACACTGTTATAACAACACACTGTTATAACAACATACTGTTATAACAACATACTGTTATAACAACATACTCGTGACGCGACGAGACAACACAGGAATGTGAGAGAACATTTCTTCGATATAATAATTATAATAATAATATATAATTATATATATATATATAGTAAGGCAATATGCAAATGAGATGAGCTGACACATATAGCAAGAACATGCTCGGGAATCAAGGCTCAAGACCAACAGTATGAGAGGCGGGGCCCAGGAGCCAGGATTCCACTATCAAGGAAGTGCCATGTCGAAACTAGAACATATGGCATTATTTACAATCAATAACGATAGAACAAGAGGCCATGTATGACAGAGCCACATAATAGAGCCACATAACAGAGCTACATAATACAGCCACATAATAGAGCTACATAATAGAGCCACATAATAGAGCCACATAATAGAGCTACATAATACAGCAACATAATAGAGCCACATAAGAAATAGAGACACGTTAGAACAGGCTGCTCTGGCGTTAAACTGACATGATAGGTCGATAATCACTACATTTTTATGACTGAAAATGAAAGAAATATTGAATGCAAGAACTGAGGCTCGATCCCGCAAGCTAAAATACTCGAATAGAATAAAATGAGTACCCAAGAAGCTAGAGAAGTAGTAGCAGGGGGAAAAGAATGCCACCAGGCTAATAATCCCAGAGCTATGAGGCATGAACAACCTGGGAACATTTACAGCAAATACACCTCGTGTTACTGGCCTACAAAAGAACGAAGAACATAGCCCCCAGAACAAAAAAAATGAGGTGCATTGACGGAGTAGATACAGACAGACTATTTAACGTGTGTTGAACACGAACAATGAGGGGGGAATTGCCAGGGTAAAAGAAGACAGATTAATTGACATGGACTTGACACCAACATGGAATACGTAAGTGGAAAATGGGTGGCTGAAGGGGCTACATGAATATAATGTTTTCTTTTTTATATATCAGTGAATCAAATGGGTGAATGTTTACCTTTCTGTGACTAGTTTCAAAGTCCTGGTACGTTTTTTTGGTAACGGAGGCCTGGTACGTTCTTTTGGTAACGCAGGTCTGATACGTTCTCTTGGTAACGCAGGCCTGGTACGCCCTGGGGATAACGCAGGTCTGGTACGTTATGTTGGTAACGCAGGTCTGATACGTTCTCTTGGTAACGCAGGCCTGGTACGTTCTGTTGGTAACGCAGGTCTGATACGTTCTCTTGGTAACGCAGGCCTGGTACGCCCTGGGGATAACGCAGGTCTGGTACGTTATGTTGGTAACGCAGGTCTGATACGTTCTCTTGGTAACGCAGGCCTGGTACGTTCTGTTGGTAACGCAGGTCTGATACGTTCGCTTGGTAACGCAGGCCTGGTACGCCCTGGGGATAACGGAGGTCTGATACGTTCTCTTGGTAACGCAGGCCTGGTACGTTATGTTGGTAACGCAGGTCTGATACGTTCTCTTGGTAACGCAGGCCTGGTACGTTCTGTTGGTAACGCAGGTCTGGTGCGTTCTGCTGGTAACGCAAGCCTGGTACGTTCTGTTGGTAACGGAGGTCTGGTACGTTCTGTTGGTAACGGAGGTCTGGTACGTTCTTTTGGTAACGCAGGTCTGGTGCGTTCTCTTGGTAACGCAGACCTGGTACGTTCTTTTGGTAACGCAGGTCTGGTGCGTTCTCTTGGTAACGCAGGCCTGGTACGTTCTCTTGGTAACGCAGGTCTGGTGCGTTCTCTTGGTAACGCAGACCTGGTACGTTCTTTTGGTAACGCAGGTCTGGTGCGTTCTGCTGGTAACGCAGGCCTGGTACGCCCTGGGGATAACGACGTTCTGGTGCGTCCTGGTACCAACAACAGCCTGATAGGTCATGTTGCTAACGTAAATCTTCGTTGACGTCACAATACAACTGCTGAAACATAACGAAGCCTTTACAATGAACTACAGCAAATCCTTCGATTACTGAGTTAAGGAACCAACTACTCAAGAGGTAACGGGCGCACTTTCCCGAGGCCCGGTCACTTCCTTCATGACCCAACAGAAGGAAGAGTGTTGATTACCTGTTAATTGACAACCTTCAAGGTAATCTACACAATATGTGTAAGACCAATACTGGAATATGCAGCACCGGAATGGAACCCACACCTTATGAAGCCTAAAGCCAAAATTTAAAAAGTAAAAGAGGTTTGCAGCAAGAGTGACTGGCGCCGGAGCTAAGAGGGCTAAGCTACGAACACAGGCTAATGGAGCTAAATCTCACAATACTAGATGATTAAAGAGACATGAGGGAATATGATCACGACATACAAAGTACTGAAGGAAATAAAGAAAGAGGGCAAGGATTGCCTCCTCAAACTGCAAATAAGTCGAAAGAATGTCAAGAGATATTCGTACCCTGTACGGATCAACAACCAGAATAAATTGAAAGAAGAGCTTGTGGAAGCCACCTCCATCCACAACTTAAGACTCGACACAGGATTTGAACGGCAGAGAAGTTCAATTATAGTGCACGAAGAGCTAAACCTGACTCACCTGTGGCCACTAATAGGTAACTACCCATACACACTACCACCATTATCGATCCCAACCAGCGACAGATGGGGGCCTGATCTATGGCAACCCTATATTTCTGAAGGATACCATCAAATTCCCTCACTGAAAATGGTTCAGGTTTACCGCCAATTAATAAGGATTACCTCCGAGATGCCTAAAAATAGGTCTTATCTAATGGGATGGAGGTGGAGAAGCGGGTGAAATGGTCACCGACACGTGGAGGAGATTATCAAAATAGTAGGTTCCCTGAAATGGGAGATGATGGATTGGTAGCCACGACTATCTCACCCCAATCAACAACCATAACTACTCCAATCCGCCCATCACCGCCAGCTCCCACTACTGTCTACGTCACACACCCGCCCAATCCCACCAGCCACTACAATCAACAAACCGTCGCTTCACTCTACCAATCATCCCCATTCCCTTACAACCACCACACGCACCTCAGAGCACAGGCACCCATCACCACTACGCCCATCACCACCCCATCTCTCTCTCTGGCCACCCACGAGATGCTCTCCATCAGACAGGCAGGAGATGGTGGCCAGCATCCGCCTGTGGGTGGCTCCCTCTATCTCCCGCACCGTCAGTTGTCGAAAACGATGCTGCGTCAAGACTGCCCTCAGAATTACGCAACTGTACCAGCGTCAGGAGATGACGAAAATGTCAAATTTAGATCAGCAATAATGCTGGGAAGTGCTCGCTCTCTCGTGATTTAAAATAATGGTCATTTTGGCCCATGGGGACGAGGCAGCGCTGTCAGTTATGAGAAATCATCGTGTTAAATGGCCGCTGACAAGAGACAAACAGGTAATGTCTGTCTCTTATAGAGACAGATAGCAACAAACCCATTTGCAGACGAGGAGTCACAATAACGTGGCTGAAATATGTTGACCAGACCACACACACTAGAAGGTGAAGGGACGACGATGTTTCGGTCCGTCCGTTGAGAATGGTCCAAAACGGACCGAAACGTCGTCGTCCCTTCACTTTCTAGCGTGTGGTTTGGTCAACAAAAAAGACCATTGTTTCGGTCTGAAGTAAGGGCAGGCCGTAGGAGACCAAATTAAACGTGTATGTGTATACACTTACAGTGCACAACTGTTCCGTCTATATACATTCATAATGACTGGTTCCAAAAATGGCTAAGTTAGTGCTCATAAGCACCTCGAGGACAAGACATGATCTGAACCTGTCAATTGTCTCACAAGAGTTCCTAAAATATGAAACTTGGAAGGAGCATTGTGAGTTGTGTGTCGCGTGACTGGGCTGTTGTAAGTACCCGCTGTCAGTCTGTCAATATGCCTGTCAGTCTGTATGTCTGTCAATCTGTCAGTATGTCTGTTTCGGTCCTGCCCGAAACGCAGCGTGTACTAGTGGCTTTACAAGATTGTAAGTTACCATGCTATGTAGTGTCACAAACTCAATGTACCTTCTTGTATATAAATAAATAAATAAAATATGTCTGTCTGTTTTTATGCATGTCTATTTCTATCAATCTCTCCATCATTTTTTTTTAACTAGGATTAAGGTTCATCAGGAGCTGCATTGATGTTCCTAACGAAACGGCAAAACCCCGAACTGGTCTCCTATATCATCTAGAACATCATGCTGATGGAGTGATGTTCTAGAATCTAGAGAATGGAAGAACCAGCATGACACTGTTGATGACTGAGCGCCTTGAGTTGTGGTTGTCCACGAAGTTGGGTCAGGTTAATATCTTGAGAACATTGACATCATACAAAAGTAAGGGGGGCGGCTTACGGGTTATTCATGCCCGTGCCGATCAAGAAGGGGGCCATGCACACGACATTGTGGTACGCTGGTACCAAATGAATGACCTTTAGATTCAGCTTCGCTGAGAACAACCCTTAGAGTCCATTCATGAAGGTACTCCCTTATTAGCTGTAATATGGAACTTGGGATACCAAGTATTTTAGCAGGTGGTACACTTCATCCTGTTTAATGTACACTGCAGAACACTTTGACACAGTGCTTGACACAGTGCTTGACATAGTGCTTGACACACCGCTTGACACAGCGCTTGACAGTGCTTGACACAGCGCTTGACACAGCGCTTGACACAGTGCTTGACCCAGCGCTTGACACAGCGCTTGACACAGCACTTGACACAGCGCTTGACACAGCGCTTGACACAGTGCTTGACCCAGCGCTTGACACAGCGCTTGACACAGCACTAGATACAGCGCTTGACACAGCGCTTGACACAGCGCTTGACACAGTGCTTGACCCAGCGCTTGACACAGCGCTTGACACAGCACTTGACACAGTGCTTGACACAGCACTTGACCCAGCGCTTGACACAGCGCTTGACACAGCACTTGACACAGCGCTTGACACAGCGCTTGACACAGCGCTTGACACAGTGCTTGACACAGTGCTTGACCCAGCGCTTGACACAGTGCTTGACACAGCGCTTGACACAGTGCTTGACACAGCGCTTGACACAGTGCTTGACACAGTGCTTGACACAGTGCTTGACACAGCGCTTGACACAGTGCTTGACACAGTGCTTGACACAGTGCTTGACCCAGCGCTTGACACACCGCTTGACACAGTGCTTGACACAGTGCTTGACACAGTGCTTGACACAGTGCTTGACACAGTGCTTGACACAGTGCTTGACACAGCGCTTGACACAGTGCTTGACACAGTGCTTGACACAGTGCTTGACCCAGCGCTTGACACACCGCTTGACACAGTGCTTGACACACCGCTTGACACAGCGCTTGACACAGTGCTTGACACAGCGCTTGACACAGTGCTTGACACAGTGCTTGACACAGTGCTTGACCCAGCGCTTGACACACCGCTTGACACACCGCTTGACACAGTGCTTGACACAGCGCTTGACACACCGCTTGACACAGTGCTTGACCCAGCGCTTGACACACCGCTTGACACAGCGCTTGACACAGTGCTTGACACAGTGCTTGACACAGCGCTTGACACACCGCTTGACACAGCGCTTGACACAGTGCTTGACACAGCGCTTGACACAGTGCTTGACACAGTGCTTGACACTGCTTGACACAGCGCTTGACACAGTGCTTGACACAGCGCTTGACACAGTGCTTGACCCAGCGCTTGACACAGTGCTTGACACAGCGCTTGACACAGTGCTTGACACTGCTTGACACAGCGCTTGACACAGTGCTTGACACACCGCTTGACACAGTGCTTGACACAGCGCTTGACACAGTGCTTGACACAGCGCTTGACACAGTGCTTGACCCAGCGCTTGACACACCGCTTGACACAGCGCTTGACACAGTGCTTGACACAGCGCTTGACACAGTGCTTGACACAGTGCTTGACACAGTGCTTGACCCAGCGCTTGACACACCGCTTGACACACCGCTTGACACAGTGCTTGACACACCGCTTGACACAGTGCTTGACACAGTGCTTGACACAGTGCTTGACACAGCGCTTGACACAGTGCTTGACACAGTGCTTGACACAGTGCTTGACACAGCGCTTGACACAGTGCTTGACACAGCGCTTGACACAGCGCTTGACACAGTGCTTGACACAGTGCTTGACACAGCGCTTGACACAGTGCTTGACACAGCGCTTGACACAGTGCTTGACACAGCGCTTGACACTGCTTGACACAGCGCTTGACACAGTGCTTGACACAGCGCTTGACACTGCTTGACACAGCGCTTGACACTGCTTGACACAGCGCTTGACACAGTGCTTGACACAGCGCTTGACACAGTGCTTGACACAGCGCTTGACACTGCTTGACACAGTGCTTGACACAGCGCTTGACACAGTGCTTGACACAGCGCTTGACACTGCTTGACACAGTGCTTGACACAGCGCTTGACACAGTGCTTGACACAGCGCTTGACACAGTGCTTGACACAGCGCTTGACACAGCGCTTGACACAGCGCTTGACACAGCGCTTGACACAGCGCTTGACACAGCGCTTGGAGGTTGTCGTTCTGGTTGTGGGTTCTGCATTTTGGTAGAAAAATGCTTAGATTAGACTTTAGCTGAACAAATCCACAAGGGCAGTGATGAGGATTCGAACCTGCGTCTGGGAGCATCCCAGACACTGCCTTAATCGATAATAGACTTAAGCTGACTGCAACAGTCCCATCGTCTTTAGTGTAGTGGTGAGACTGTTCTCATAGTTGGACATCCTTACTGATGTTTAATCACTAATCGCTAACTATTCCTGATGAAAATGTACTTCATGTTTCTCATTTCCATCTGGAGATAGTCGACTTGAAAGATTGGTTTATGTGATGACAAGATTGCCTAGTAATGTTGTTGCTGCTAAGGACTCCAGGTCCCTTAATTTTGACCTCATCCATCTTCTGGATGAGGTCAAAATCATCTTCCATTCTGGCGTCGATTGGCAAATCGCTGCTGATCAGAAGACTTGGCCACATTCAGACAATGAGATAATCAACGTGTGAAGGCGTTGGATTGGTTGTTCACGTCACCCTGGAACAAGGCATTGCATTCAGTTGTTCTTTGTTCCAGGCGGAGGTCTGAGGCCAGATTCACGAAGCAGTTACGCGAGTACTTACGAACGTGTACATCTTTCCTCAATCTTTGACGGCTTTGGTTACATTTATTAAACAGTTTACAAGCATGAAAACTTGCCAAAACAGCCTCCTGGTGCTTCGGGGCTCATTAACTGTTTAATAATTGTAAACCAAGCCGCCAAAGATTGAGAAAAGATGGACAGGTTCGTAAGTGCTTGTGGAACTGTTTCGTGAATCCGGATCCTGGTCTCTTTCCCGTGTCCGAAAGCCATGTTTGTGTGTTTTCACCCAAATCTGTCGGAATAGACGATAAATATCTCTCTTTCCCTCATAAAACATCACACATATCATACAACATGTGTTGTTCGACATGTCTGTCCACATACAGTCCCCTGTATGGGGACGAGGCCCCTGTCCAGGGGCCTCGTAGCCTGGTGGATAGCGCGCAGGATTCGTAATTCTGTGGCGCGGGTTCGATTCCCGCACGAGGCAGAAACAAATGGGCAAAGTTTCTTTCACCCTGAATGCCCCTGTTACCTAGCAGTAAATAGGTACCTGGGAGTTAGTCAGCTGTCACGGGCTGCTTCCTGGGGTGTGTGTGTGTGTGTGTGTGTGTGGTGTGGAAAAAAAAAAAAGTAGTTAGTAAACAGTTGATTGACAGTTGAGAGGCGGGCCGAAAGAGCAAAGCTCAACCCCCGTAAAAACACAACTAGTAAACACACAGTCGACACAGGCGGCCGTGGCCACATACAGTGAACACCGGCGGCCGTGGCCACATACAGTGAACACCGGCGGCCGTGGCCACATACAGTGAACACCGGCGGCCGTGGCCACATACAGTGAACACCGGCGGCCGTGGCCACATACAGTGAACACCGGCGGCCGTGTCCACATACAGTGAACACCGGCGGCCGTGGCCACATACAGTGAACACCAGCGGCCGTGGCCACATACAGTGAACACCGGCGGCCGTGGCCACATACAGTGAACACCGGCGGCCGTGGCCACATACAGTGAACACCGGCGGCCGTGTCCACATACAGTGAACACCGGCGGCCGTGGCCACATACAGTGAACACCGGCGGCCGTGGCCACATACAGTGAACACCGGCGGCCGTGGCCACATACAGTGAACACCGGCGGCCGTGGCCACATACAGTGAACACCGGCGGCCGTGTCCACATACAGTGAACACCGGCGGCCGTGGCCACATACAGTGAACACCGGCGGCCGTGGCCACATACAGTGAACACCGGCGGCCGTGGCCACATACAGTGAACACCGGCGGACGTGTCCACATACAGTGAACACCGGCGGCCGTGGCCACATACAGTGAACACCGGCGGCCGTGGCCACATACAGTGAACACCGGCGGCCGTGTCCACATACAGTGAACACCGGCGGCCGTGGCCACATACAGTGAACACGGCAGGGATCGACCCTTCAGGTGTTCCCCTCTCTCACACACGCTCCTTAATTACTGGCTCGTTAACCTGCATCACCTGCCTTTATCACCGGCGCGCCCTGCTCTTAATGTCTCTCTAAACACCGCCTTCATCTCCTCCCCATAATCTCTTCAGACCAACAGCTTAATCTCTCGGTCTCGCAGAACCCAATTTTTTCATCTTACGTCCTATCTCGTAACTGAGTTTTCCCCCTGATATAATTACTGTCTCTCACATCTCTCAGCTTGATCTTTCTGACAGCTTAATCTCCTAAGTTAAAGTCTCCCGTTACAATTTGCCTGACGAATACCTTTATCTCTCAATTGCAATCTCTGCGTCTCACGGCTTCAGCTGGATTCACAGCAATATCTCCAAATGTAATTTAGTATCATACTATCAGTAACGACGAACCACATAGGCATGTTTCGTCCAATGAGATCAACAGATCCTTTAATATGGCCTGTTGTTGTTGTTGTTGTTGTTATAGATTCAGCTACTCGGAACAAGTTCCAAGTAGCACGGGCTATGGTGAGCCCGTACCTTACCTGGCACAGGAGCGGTTGCCACTACTCTGCTTCAGCGAGGGCTGTGCACCACCACCCTCCCTACTAGACCCAGGATACATGGACATTATATATGTCAATGACTTTCCAGAAGGAGGAAACTCCTTCCTCTCTCCCTAGAGCACGGCATGGGGGCTACAGGATGACTTAGTCACATGGAATGAATGGTAAAATAATGGTTACCAGAATTTAACTCCAGCAAGTGCAAAGTAGTTAAGCTGGGTGCTAGGAACAGGAGGCCGTAACAAGATATCAAATATGAGAAGAAATCCTCCCAAAATAATATAAAAAGGGACAGTAAGGGTGATATTAGACCGAGCTAATCTGGCGAAACATTGACCAACCTATCTATCAGTCAACTGTGCATGCAGAAGATGAGAGGAAATGTCAGCATTGATGATTTGTGATTGATTGATCCACAGTTCTCCCCACAAGCACTGTGGAGAAATGCCCGACAAACCACTGGAACATTATCCACACCACTGGAACATTATCCACACCACTGGAACATTATCCACACCACTGGAACATTATCCACACCACTGGAACATTATCCACACCACTGGAACATTATCCACACCACTGGAACATTATCCACACCACTGGAACATTATCCACACCACTGGAACATTATCCACACCACTGGAACATTATCTAACACAGTGCACACTTATAAACTGCATATGCCAAGTTGGGCAATACAAGGAACGCCACAAGTGAATTGAATAAGGAATCCCTCAAGACCTTTGTATCATATATATATTCGACCAATCCTGAAATATTTTGTGCTACTTTGAAAGTCGTTATCATGTTAAACTTAAAATTAAGCTAAACAAAAATCCCATTGCATGTGACCAGATTATTCCCAGATCCGAGAGGTATGAGTTCTAAAGAGTGTCTAAAGCATTAATGGAAGGGAGAAGAAACATGGGAGACATGATTACCTCATACAAAATACAGCAAATTATGGCAGACTAGGACTATCTGTTTGACAGGTGATGTTGTCCCCTTAGTGACTATGATGCTGATCCTCAAGTGACAATCATTAACTGTTCAAGATGAGTGACTGTTCCTCTCCAAACCTGAGACACACGAAGAACCTGTTTTGTGCAGACGAGGAGTCACAATAACGTGGCTGAAATATGTTGACAAGACCACACACTAGAAAGTGAAGGGACGACGACGTTTCGGTCCGTCCTGGACCATTCTCAAGTCGAATGTGACTTGAGAATGGTCCAGGACGGACAGAAACGTCGTCGTCCCTTCACTTTCTAGTGTGTGGTCTGGTCAACAACCTGTTTTGTATTCTCTATGGAATAATACATTACTCATGGAAACTCATTACCTCGTTAATGAGTCACTGAGGGTATAGTGACTATACGAGGTGGTCGTAATAGCTACGATGATCGTAGTGCATACGGTGAAGGGGGAAGGTAGCTATTGTTATGAGTTCACAGGACGGACGTTGTATATTAGCTGCGGTTATTACCGCTGCTGAGTCTGCTGTGTTGTAATGAAGGGTCATCAATGTCTGCTGTGTTGTAATGGAGGGTCACCAATCATGTCTGCTGTGTTGTAATGGTCATCAATCATGTCTGCTGTGTTGTAATGGTCATCAATCATGTCTGCTGTGTTGTAATGGTCACCAATCATGTCTGCTGTGTTGTAATGGTCATCAATCATGTCTGCTGTGTTGTAATGGTCATCAATCAAGTCTGCTGGGTTGTAATGGTCATCAATCAAGTCTGCGCTCTCACCCAAGCTGTGGGTTGTGAAGACGGGGGGGGGGGGTGAGGTTGTGAGGTTGTGAGTACAGGGTGGGTGAGGACAGCCGGGGGTTGTAATGAGGCAGTGAGGGGTTGTGGGTGATGGGGGGGAGTGAGGAGGGTGGGGGGGTTGTGGGTGATGGGGGGGGGTGAGGAGGGTGGGGGGGGTTGTGGGTGATGGGGGGGGGTGAGGAGGGTGGGGGGGGGGTTGTGGGTGATGGGGGGGGTAATGAGGGTGGGGGGGTTGTGGGTGAGGCCTACCATGGGTTGTGGGGTCATATACCAACAAACACAAACTGACAAGCATTGATCACAATATTCTCATTCCCCCACTGATGTCACTTGGATGGTTCCCCCACTGATGTCACTTGGATGGTTCCCCCGCTGATGTCACCTGGATGGTTCCCCCCCACTGATGTCACCTGGATGGTTTCCCCACTGATGTCAACTGGATGGTTCCCCCCACTGATGTCACTTGGATGGTTCCCCCACTGATGTCACTTGGATGGTTCCCCCACTGATGTCACTTGGATGGTTCCCCCACTGATGTCACTTGGATGGTTCCCCCACTGATGTCACCTGGATGGTTCCCCCCCACTGATGTCACCTGGATGGTTCCCCCACACTGATGTCACCTGGATGGTTCCCCCCCCCACTGATGTCACCTGGATGGTTCCCCCACACTGATGTCAC